CAGTCGGTAGGAAAACGCAAATGTTCATTTCTCGTACATTATCTTCAGTCATTATTTTTCACAGTCACATTCTGGGTTCCTCGGCCATATTGGTGTCCGGGTCACATTGCCGAGTATGACAGACAAAATTTGACCAACAGACCCGATTCAAAAATGGCCGCCGAGATCTCGTTGATAGCGAGTGAGCCACGAGACTTGTTTTTGTATACTAAATACGAGTAGCTAAATACCGCGATAACAAGTCACGTGACCCCTCGCTCTTATCGGGATCCCGGCGGACATCATTTGTGGATAAGCTATATTCGGACCGATTATGCCGCGAGACCACGATTCAGAGCAGATTAGGAACATCAAGAAGTGACACAATCTCTCAGTTCTATTTCTACGAATTGATTGTCGTTGATTGGTCGATGCGTCACAGTGGTACTTCTTTCAAAGACGCCCACCAAAGCATTGCCATGCAGGTGTTCGACTTTCAAGCCCGACGAAAGCTCAGTTTTATTTTCCAAGACACAAAAGAAGTGGCAATAGGACGAGTTAGCCGTCAATACCACGAGGTGCATTCGTTTGTTAATATTTCAGGACGGTCAGCTTGATGAACCGAGCAACACCTCAGTAACCGTTATTCCGCGACATTTTTTTTTAAATTATAACTATTTCACTTTTCAGTGCCTTTCCGGAAAAACATTTTCAGTTATCAATAACAGTTTAAAGAAATCAACACAAAGACATAGTAACGTCAGAAATACGCGTGGTAAAATTCAAAATGGCGGTGTGTGGTGGCAGAGATACTTTCGGTGATCTAAGCGCAAGGAATTATGGGAAGAAAAATGGAAGTGACCCTAATTATAACCGGCTATCGTGAGCATTTGCGTCGTTTATCATTTTAACACAAAACGACAGTTGTTCTGTGAGTTAGCAATACATGATGCCACCGTGAATCAAAATTCACTGTTGACCATGCAAACAATACCCGAAGTTTATAAAACGACGCCATCTACGGCAACAACATATTTTGAGATCGTGAAAATAGACGACTTTCCCGGAAGTAGCCAAACTGGGGTGCAAAAATACTCCTGCTTTGTCATAGGTGAAAATACAAACATGTCAGTTTGCTGATAGTCAATAGAAGGGAATTTTATTTTTGTGACGTCGATTGGTTCACTCAGAAGCGCATATCACGCGTGCAAGTTTACGTTACACCCAAAACGAAATGCGCGCGAATGCGAAACGCTGCATCTTCGACTTCCGGGAAAGTCGTCTATTATGCGTGAAGATGGTGAATATATGAACCGTCCTATGTAAAATGTGAAAATACATCAGGTCTTTTAGTCCCAAGCGACGATAACAACACACGCTAAAAACACAAAGGATCATGGGTAGACGCTTGTTTGTAAACAATGACACGCTATGGCCATCTGACGCATGCGCAGGTGACGACTCCCATCACTTAAAGTGATGCCAAACTTCAACACTCAATATTGACATTATTATGCGCATGCGCTTGGAGCATAACTTGATTTGTACATTGGATGGAATAGCTGATTAAAATTTATGACTTTCGTACCGTACCCGAGCAAAGTACATTAATGACGGACACGGTTGAAATAAAGACCCATATTACGATCAGCCATGCGTGGAAACAAACGGCCCTGGCAGCAATCAACACCAACAGCTGACTTTGTCTCGATTTAATCGAAGGTCTCTTGCAGAAACAATGCTTGCCGTAGCAACGCAAGCAGAGTGATTGGCAACGCGCCAAGTTACATCACCCCCCCTAAAACGTGGCGTTA